ATATGCCTGATGGGCTGTTATACTTTCGCTACTTCACTTACTGGAGACGATTTATCGCCCGTCTCCCATCCTTAGTTCAAAATCTGATCTAACTACATAACTATTGAGATATCTGAAATGTAACGTGACGAACCCAATTTAAGCAATGACGGGCGGATTGGCGGGCAGTTGCTAAATCTGGGTTACATTCTATTGGAACCGAAATAGATTTCAAACACATCTAAGTTATGAAACTAATTTTTAGCGCCTCAAAATGCTAAAACGAGTTAAGGAAAGAAATTGCTCCGGATCAGCATAATCAGGCCCTGCTCTGATTTTTCGCTATCAGTTTAAACGGGGTAACAGTGTGCGCATCCGATGGTCTGGCAGCATGTATTTTGTTTTTAACACAAAATGCGCTCGAAACTAAAACTTTTTCTTGTTAATTTCCTGTGAATAAATTCAGCCATCCTACGAACTTAACTGTACTTGTTTCCACACGGGGAACACTTTGGGCCTGTGAGTTAGCTCACTACCTTTCAGTTGCATTATCTAACCACAGGAAACTGACGGGGCATGTGTCTGAACTCACCGTACTGGCCTTGCGGAAGGTCGGCTTTCTACTTGCACAAATTCTATTGCCAAGAATTCACATGGACTTGTCCCCGTCGAATTGGAGATTGTCTGGTTCGGACAGAAAAACTGCGCACAAAGTCCCGAACACACTTTGATCGTAATCTTTACATGCATTGAGCTTCTTTACATAAACTATCCCAAACTTTCTTTAGGTATCAAGAGCTCATCGAAGACGTCCAAGATATTCGAGATGATGCGGATATTTCATGGGCGCTGAAAAGACTGGAGAATCTTGCGGAAGTGAGTTGTACTGAAGACTTAAACTTTTCTGCTACTAAAAATGGTAGCATTTAGGCCTAAATGTAGTTTTATCAGCTCTAAAGAGAGCTCTGTACTCGCAACCAAATTCTCTATTGAACCTTCTCTTTGCTGGTCGATGTGATTTTGGCATCGGAAGTAAGGTTATCCAGATGATGCTACTCAGATGCTACTCGGATCATAAGCGCTTTATCAATAACAACAAGACACAAATTACTGAGAATGAAGAGCACGCTAACCGGACTCTGAGTGGACAGATTTCTGATAAGTATAACGGAGTGGACGGCCAAATCCATATTTGGACGGATAAGGAATGCACCGCGTGGTCCATGGGCATCAAACATACAGTGTCTAAACATGCTGTAGATTTTCGTACCATCTGATGATTGGCCTATTTTACATAGGTACTGTATCATTTTCAGGTTTATCACAAGCGAAACAGGTCATATGCAAGGGTGAAGGCAAGCACGACGTATGTAGCCTCATCCAGTTGACGACTCAGCGACTGAGTGCTCGAGATAGCGACGTCTCAACCTGACACATGGTGTCACGAACCGTCCCCTCGACAATTCCTGTGAACTTGCATTCCGAAACCAGTTTAGAAAATTTTTAAGCGGAAATCGCTTCTAACAAAAATTCCACAGTGATGCAGAATTTTTGTAAATCGAAGCTGAGAAGACCCGATCTGCCATCATGGTTCCGATGTATTTTTCCGATTTCCATTTACAGCTTTCGGTGTCCAGATTCAGAATTGACAGGCTGGCCACGCTCGTAGGCTGTTTAAGCTACTGGGAGTTCTGTTCTCCGTTCCTGGCCGCGGCACTCGACTTCATTCATTCCAGAGTAGTTTCGCTACCGGCGGAGATCCTGCCAACCTAGGAGAGCAGCAAAGCTTCTGCAAGCCAGCTCTCGCGTGAACAGTGAAACTTTTCAATAAAAGCGTTAAATGCATATATGCAGACATTCTCCAAATGTGAAATGGCCAGTCGGTTTGCCAGAACAGGGCAGAAGGCGCCGCCAGCACTAGATAACAATAACTGTAGCCAATTATCATTTGGGGTTATCAATAAACACAAGGAAAAATTTTATAAAATAAATCGGGCGGAATTGGCAGTATAAATTGCTACGTCCTAAACGCGACGGACATGTACTGCATTTACTCCTAATATCGCGAGGAATAGCAAAAAAATTAAATTCACCGCGATCAAAATTCCTAACGAAAAGAAAACGGGAAAGTAAACCAAGACGCAAAACGCTCCCAAAAACTCCCCGTTCTAACAAAAAACAACTAGTAAGAACACGTGTGGTATTTACATAAGATGAGTAATAAACACTTCAATACTGAACGGTGTGACGGGATGACTCTTGTCTGCTGTACGGCCGC